TAAATAAATAACCCACCCCCAGTTTATTATATTTATATTTTTTGTATGTACATATATTTGTTTGCACTCATGTTTAGAAAAACATATTTTGTTCTTAAAAAAAAAATATTATGAAACATGACGAGATGAATACAAAATTGCCCAAATTAATGGGTTTAATATTCTTTGGGTCATTGTTCGAGTTGACTTGAATAAACCCGATCGACCGAGTTTTGAGCAACTCGTCCCAAATTTTAATCGAACACGATGCAAACAAATGTGAATGATAAATCCATACCCATATTCGAGTCGACTCAATCAAATCTTGAAACCACTCGTTCACGTTATATTATACTAGGTTTACAAAACAATAATTCAACCTAATGTTATGAAATTCTTCCTATATATCATTTCCATGTATAGTTATGATGATAGTCATGTTCGATTCGAGTTGGATCAACAAAATCTCGAATCAACTCATTAAATCATATCGTACCGAGTTGCCATACAATGATTCAACCCATGTTATGAATTTATAAGCGACTTTTCTTTAAAAAGTATGCTTTTTTCTAAGTAACATTTATATATTAAATCATGATAGTTCAACTCTCCTATTAATTGGTGTCGTGGAAAATTAACATACCACACAACATATATATGGTTGAAAGATCACAAGATTTTGATGTGTGACTAAGATGTACTCACGTAGGTATATATATACATAATTTGTAGGCAAAAAAATGTATGGTAATTGTTTTTGTTTTTCCAATCTTTTGTCACATTTTGCATTAATCAAGTAATTATTATTTTTTATTTATTTGGATTGTAGATTAAGAAGAATGAAGTTCGACTATTGCATAAAATTACCCAGAACACTCGCATATTTTTGTTCTTAATTTTTTTATGAAATTAGATATTGACTAATGTTATTTGAATATACACAACAAATAAGTAAATAAAAATAAAGAAAAAGAAAAGTAAAAAAAAATCACGTAACAAAATTTAATTCTGTTTACTTTTAAGAGAAATTTTATTACGTATTATGCAATTTTATTTTTATTTTTTTACATAAAATTGATTGTTGCAAAGGTATTTCATTCAAAAAATTTCATACTACATAGAAAAATCTAATTTATAGATGATAGTATTTATATCTAGATAAATAATAATTGTAAGGTGCATGTGGCGGGCAAGGAAAGAGATGATGCACTTTGTAAAATCGTACACGTGAGTATGACTTAACACGTTAATGGGAGAAAAAAATGTTTCAGAGCATTAAATAAGACATCATCAATAGTTTTGAAAATGGAGATTTTGAGATGAGGTACTTGCAATTTTGTTTTCCACTTCAAAAACAAAATGATGACATGTGTTCCTTAACCGCCTTCTTGATTTCATCGAAGATCGGCTGATTGGACGAAGGTTTTTTCACGGTGGTGTCCAGGCGAAGCAAGTTGAAGTAGTGGGACATTCTCAGAAGGATAAGTTCCACTGCAGTAACCATATAAGGAGACTCCACTGTCACAGTAAATTGTTGTCGTTTTCTCGGAGAAAATGCAGATGCCAATGGTATTTCAGATCCATTCTGCCCAACCAGTTAAGGCTTATCATAGATAAGCCAAAAAAAATACCCTGAGTAACAGAACTTTCAAAATTGACACCAATCTTGCCAGATTCACCATATTAAGACTACTCGTTATGGCATATTGCACCAGGCACCAAATACATTACATAACATGACTTGGATTGACAATTTTTCGCTCAACTCATATACTTGACACGATTCAATTGTGTAAAAAGCTATTGCGACTATGCACAAGAAAACTGACCCAAAATTAAGAGGGACTGCAAGATTTGCATCTGAAACATTTCAATTAGATAGTTAGTGACCAATATGGAAATTTTGAATGGACAAGGAGTATCTACTGCCTTTGGTCTCTCTAATAATAAAATAGATACAGATCAGCTCAAGCTCACAAGATTTAGCAGCAACTGGACTGTCAGAATGGATGCTATGGAGATTACTCGTAGTAATCTTCAGTATTGTTAAAGATGTAGATCGCCTGCATCCTGATAAGTAGCATTACACAAAAATCAAGAGTACAAATATATAATATCTGATGATTGGGATTCAGGCACTTTTTAAGGATCAGTCTGTGAAAAAACTAACCACCTCGAATTCACATACACACACTCAAACATGAAAAATAATGATTTGTGCCTGAATACGAGTGGCACAAGTGAAAAATCCAACAGTATAAACTACGGGACCTTATCTTGTTCTTATTAAAAAAGAACTAGCGCGCGCAAGAAAGTCGAGCTTCCTTTTTCTATTCTCGTTCTAAGAAATTTGCAGCCATGTAGAAAGTAAAACATTATCCATACAGCGCTTGCCAAGCCTCTTTGTTGTCCCTTGACTTCTTGGGTGGATTTTGAACTGTCTTGTCCTTTGAGAAAAGGAGACCAGAAAAGCTTGCTAAGTGATCCCCTATCTGGCATATTACCTGACAAAAGTTTTTGATAAAAGCAGATTAAACAGAGACCGGCAAAGTACAAACAAAATACATGATGTGGGCCATTGTCATCCAACAAGAAGCTTGGAAAAGTACCGTTATCAAATTCAGTTTAGCCGCAGCTTAAAAAAATAAAAAATTTAGTTTGATCACCGACAGATGCAAGAAACAAGACATAGAATATGTAGCATAGCTCGCCTGTATGATTCCGTCTAAAAGCTGAGATTTGTTTTTACAGTTTGCAGACAGTCCCAAAATAAGTAAAGGTTAGTACTAACTTTAGGAGTTATCAGCAACCAATCACTTTGAAGAAAATAGCAGAGAATGGCCACAAAATAAGTCTATATGCGCATCACGCTCTAATTCTCTACTCTTAACAATAAAATAATACCCAAGCATTGTCATTTGTTCCTGTACTGCATCGAGAATGCAAATTTGAAAATTAGAATAATAAAAATGGGAGTTATCAGCAAAAAGAATTGGAAACAGATAAGCAAAACAGTCCGTTCAGTGAGCTCACGAGCATTGTAATCCAACACTGTCCTTAAAGCCAGCAATCCAAAAAATTCAAAATGCTCAATAAAGGCTGAAAAAGAATCATTATACCTCCAGCTCATCTTTGGAGTTTTTACTTGCCACACGCTGACAGCTTTGACCAATCAGCACAAGTGCAGGAAGTTTCATGGCAGTTAACAAATGAAGCAGTGTGGCCAAATCTTCACGATAAACCTGCAAAAATGGAGAGGGCTTTTGCAATTTGGAGCTCAAAGCCTCAGTTAAATCCCTTTTTGGACCTAATTCAATGCCATAAACTGAAGCATTATCACTTCCCACGGAATATTTGTTTTCTTGTTTGAGCTTAGATTCTAGCACAACACAAGGGACTATGAGTGTTGGTGTACAGGACAAATCATCTCCAGCCAATTTCAGCAATACCTCATTCAAAGCACAAGCTAAGATTGGTGGCTCGTAACTTTGCAAGAGCACAATAGACACCTGAGAAATGTACAAAATATCTTAAGCTTCAATCTGCTCAGGAGCCAAAAACGAACGCAATTACACATTTCCACCAGTATCGAATAAATAAATAACTTGGAAGAATATGAAAGCTAATGAAATCATCAAGCCCCACGTCGTGGAGCAAATCTAACAGCTGAGATTAGGGATTGAACCCTCTGCATATTAAAAATTTTCAACAGCTACTTGAGAAAACAATTCATGATAAATCAATACAAACTACCAAATTTATTTGAATATCGAAACAATTTCAATAAGGAAATCAACCACCACAAGCCACATAAATCAACTAATAAAACGGATTATGTTCGCAAATTACAATTAGGGTTAGCTTCTAAACACGCCCCCATCGAGCTATAGGGGAAAAACAGCTATTGAAGTGATAATTACCTCATAATCACCACTGGGATTGACAGAATGAATGATCTCTCCGGATGCCTTCTGATCTTTGATTCCGTAAGCATCTAAAGGCAATCCAAAATACTCTTTTCTGAAATCGAACCCGAAAAAATCATGACATTAACTTTTATTACTGATAGTGAAGATGGGTAAAGTTTCGTTACTACTCACAGCATTTTGAAGTTTGAGCTTGGGATCGGGTTGAGGCCGCTGGATACGGCGGCTGATAGGGCGTCGCCGCCGTCAAGCAGGAGAATAACTTTCTCGGCCACCTTCATCTTGTAGAGGTGCTTACTGTTAAAAGTATTGGTCTGTACTCTGCTGCATCCACGTTTGTTTCTTCGGACTCTTGGAGAGAAGGTTTTGCTCTACATTTTTTTTTTTTTTTTAACATCAAAATAACGAAGAATAATAAAAGTGTCCGCATGGGCTTACTTGTAGCCCAACCCAAATTTTTTTTAGGGTACAATAGCCCAACCCAAATTTGAGTGGTGATTCATAAAGAAAAGCCTATACGTATCACATTCTTAGCCCAATATAACACCCCAACCGAGCCTTTGCAATTGCCTCCTCCTCTCATTCAAGTCTTACATTTAGTGTAGCCATAGATAGATAAATAAATACATGCACTATCTTCTAATTGATTAATTGAGCATAGAAAGATAAATTAATTGAATATAAGTACTACTCTACATAGTCTCTGACTTTAATTAAAGTAATGATCACAAATTTCAAAGCATTCGTTCGTTGGCTTAACGAAACATCTTAACTCCGATCTCCAAGCATTGGTCAATTTGATTATTAATTGGTATTATTACAACTGCAATAAACCAAGTACTGCTAAAAGATAAGATGAAACTATACAACACCAAAGATTATTTATAATTAGCCAAAAATGCTACACTACAAATTAAATTAATACTATATATTAATATATATTTTTATATTTCATTTTTTTGCTTAGGAAAATAAAAAAAGAGCAATAAAGCTTTTAAAGATAATTCGTTTTTTTGCTGCCAAAAAAAAAAAAAAAAAAAAAAAAAAAAAAAAAAAAAAAAAAACGATTTAAAAAAAAAAAAAAAAAAAAAAAAAAAAAAAAAAAAAAAAAAAAAACGATTTACAATGATGTATTATTGATGGGATGACGAGCCCCATCGTCATAAAGGAAGGGGGAGAGTAGTATACTTGAGCTTTAAGAAAGCTAGCTTGTGCACATTCATTCATGCAAAAATCAAAAATATTAATTAATAATTAAAAATATATATTAATTGCTGCAAAAACACTTTCGGGCTTTCCCCATTTTTATTTCCCTACAAAACCCAGAAGAGAATATTACTGTGATGCAGCAAAGAATAATCACACTACAGCTTTTATATATGTTCTGCAGCTGTTTGAGCAAACCAAGCAATGAATATAATTTTTCACCCCAATTGATGGTTATCTCTTAAAGGCTAGATAGTCATACTTGTTAAATATTTGTGCAAACTTAAATGTCATACTCATAAAATTAGTTTAGTCTAAAGAACAAAAGTACGACATTTCATAGATAAGACACGTCGATCCACCGGTTATACTTCACGAACAAAAAATGCAGACTTATAATGTAAAATCTTAAAGTATGACATTTCAGTATACAAGTATACATATTTGTTAATAAAATAGGTTTGTCTAACCGTCAGACCTACCTAACAACAATCTGATCGATATAAAAATAAAATAACTAAATCAATCTCCACATCAAGTAAGTTGCTTATAATTAGCTCATTTTGGAGCCACAGTTCACAAGAGCATTCTGCTTTCTACAGTTGTTAGTGTCACATGGAAACAAACTGAGAGAGTTAAGGGATTGTTTGGAGATGTGGAAACCAAAAAGGCTGAACAATTTGTTTTTGACAAAAGAGACGTGGATTTGTACTGAAACATCCAAAACTTGATGTTCAGGAGGCTAGATAGCCATATATTTATATACACTTGGATTAGGGTTTACAATGCTATCTATGGAAACAAGATCAGAGATTATTCTAATACACAATTCAAGCCACTAAATATTCCCTATAATTAAGGTATAGATATACATTCCTAACACCCCCCCTCAAGTTGGAGCATGCGGGTTTCGAATGCCCAACTTGCTAAGGAAGAAATCGAACTCGCGCTTGCCCAAGGCCTTAGTGAAGATGTCAGCAAGCTGGGATTTAGTAGAGACATGAGACGGGGAAATGAGGCCTTGAACGAGAGCATCACGGATGAAATGGCAATCCACCTCAATGTGCTTGGTACGTTCATGAAAGACAGGATTGGCAGCAATGTGAAGAGCCGCCTGACTGTCACAATAAAGTTTTATGGGCTGTGAATGAACTACACCAAGACTACTCAGTAAACTCTTCAACCACTTCAATTCACAGGTAATCGTGGCCATGGCACGATATTCAGCTTCGGCAGACGAACGCGCAACAGTTTGTTGCTTCTTGGTGCGCCACGAAAGAGGAGAGTGGCCAAGCTGCACAAAC